ATCTTAAGCGCTTAGCTGCTCTTACTCCCGCAGGCTAAGATAAGGAAATAAGCAAGCTTGCTGGCATATAAATATACTATGTCCCCCATGCATCTGAATTGCCTTAGATGAACGTTTGTAGGTGTGTTGAGATGTAGGTGCGCAACCAAGTACAGGAGCGTAGACTAGTAATCCTGTAAGCCGAAGGTCTGTTGTTGTCGTCCAACCGGGTGGAGAATCAACTTCAGGATAGCTCATGCTGATCGAAATTCCACCTTAAGCATGGCGCCGACATAATTTGGGACCTGGAATCAAAGATGTGAAAAACGAAAATCCAGAAAACATGACAAATATTGAAGCATATCTGTATGAATATGATATATTGACATATGACTTAGGCAAATTTGGCAAAGGCGCAAATATTTTAAAAAGTAGGCAATTATTGTGAGAGCATGGAGTTCTCACTTTGCGTGGCTGTTCGGGATGGAAAAAATAAGGCAAAAATTGCATGACTTCATGTCTAATTTATGAAGTGGCAGCCGTTTTTATTTGACGAAACTCATCTGAGGGCCAAGGATGAGTAAATGAGGCTCTGAGTGGAAGAATGAGTGAATTAGGTCTCAAGTCCCTGTTTAATGTTGCCTAGACACATTTCCGTCATCGATAGTGTTGGTGAAGAGGCTGTGGCAATTTCATATGAATTATTTTTCGTATATAAACAGGTTTTCGAGACTAACAGTAGCTCATATTAATGAAGTGTATTCACACAATTTCATTTAAACTAAGAGAATATAGTTGAATTTCCCCCATACCGATATTAAGAGATGTTACGCTTTAATTGAATTTCATATAGCCTTATTTTCCAAGACTGTAATCTCATTCTGGATAGAGTGAATTGCAGTTTCGACCTCGCCTGAACTGGTCTCGTCAGCGCTCTCTGCAGGACTCGAACCATGACAGTGCAGAGTATTATATCGACAGGTTAAACATAAAGCCCCATTTCCACAATTTAAATTGGGTTTTAGGGCATATATGAAATTCAAGGAAGGCATTTTCCGATATTTAATTCTTTAGTGCAGTGATGCCCAAACTGTGCGCCGCTTCAATTTGAGAAAATGCGCAGTGATTTGCAGGCTCATCCATCACATATATTTTTAAATATTAATTTAATGAAAGTAAAGTATAAAAAAATATTGAAGATACACGAGTTTTATTTATTTTTATCTCTTACTTGCGAATCGTCATACTTAGAGTAGGGCGCCATGGAAAAAATTTAATTGAAGAAAGACGCCGTGACTAGGAAAAGTTTAAGAACAACTGCTTTAGTGGGATTGTTGTTGGACCAAAGTTGTATTTTGCTGTAGCAATGTAATTTTTTCGATTGTTTTAGCAAATACACCATTGCCTCATCGACAATCTCAACACAAAATGTGATATGAAAAAATGCTTTGCCTTTTTTGAAAGTCACATCTGTTCTGAGGCCCAAGGGCACTCTTGGAAATGTGGCGTAGTGGTTAACATTACGAAATTATACGCTGCAATATTACTGTTCGAGTCCGGTTTGGGGTGCTGAGGAGATTCAGCAATCCATTATGGGTGAGAATAACTCTTGATAAAGCAAAACTATGTGAACTTCAGTGGAAATGTAAGGTCTACTCATATCATTGTTGAAAATTTCATCTACCAATCACCTTATCATCACTGTGAGTTTCAGATGCACGAAGGACTCTTATTCTTAGGCTTGTGGGTTGCCAAATTGCATCTTGACTACTTCTTAACTACTATCGGATCCATCTCTCTGTTTGTTTAATTAATTGGGAGATCAAATCCTAATGGTGATGTCGCAGAGACAACCAAAAAAGAGACATTTTTCTCCCATCCTCGTATAAAGGATCTCGTCATATTTTGTTTAATTATTTCCTAGCCACACACTCCATTCGACATAATTCCTTCAAGTAAATATGCCACATTTTGGTAGGTTGCTTCATAGAGCAGTTATTAGCACAGCCATTCTAGTCAGAATTGCGAGCAGATGAAACCACGCATGTAAAAGTTCCGTTAATTCTTGAGAATTTTGGCGAAGCACACGGCATCCCACCAGTCGCATAAGTTCCGTCTTTTAGGAAGAAAAATGACCAAGTCGGCTGGCCCTTTTTCTGTTCTTTTGATCACAGATTAAGCCGCTTTACTTCATTTTGTGATAGATAGGACTCTGTCAGAATCATTTATCACCATCATTGCCAGCATGGGCGGTCTGTTTCGACGATGTTCTGCCGACTTTAAAGATGCCTTGTGCTTCGGTATCAGCTGCGCTATCTTCAATTAACTCCCTACGCCCTACATGCAATGGGTGTAGACCAGGTGCCCCCAAGCTGAGTATTACTTGCACTTACTACAACAGAAGCTACGTTTCCGTTCGCCGGATACCGAGGTTCTAATGCCGAGTCTGAGATATAGGGGCCTACATAAAAGAGTTTCTTTTGCCGAAATGAAGAGAAATTTAGGAAGATTACATTTCATTTATTTAAGATATGAAGACCAAGATGGTATGGCCCTCGGTATACTCGCTGTTTGCTTTCGATTTATAGAAGTGGGTTGACCTCGTTTCCGCAACTTTGTCTTATTAACAGAGAGACTTAGTAGAACGTACCTTGTACGAAGTCCTCTGACATAGTAATTATCATAATTCCCAGCATCAGACCATGGACTTGGTACATTCTCAGACGCTTCGCCAAAATCGTAGTCGGCATTTTATCTATTTGACCAGTTTGTAGCTTGGTGCGGTGAATGGCAACACTCACTAATGATGCCGAATATGATGTCGGCGAAACGACTGACAATATATCAAGTCTACGGACTGCTTCTGGGAATTATGATAACTACTATTTCAGAGGATTTCGGACAAGGTGAGCTCAACTAAGTCGCCTCAACAACAATACCAAGTTGCAAAACCGAGTTCATCCCACTTTCATTTCTTTTTTTCGTGTAAAAGTGGGTTTTCTAGAATGCCAGTCAATCAGGTATATGAGATGCGTTGGTCGTTGAATTTTCCCTAAATGATGTGAGTAGGCCTTACGTTTCCATTAAATTTCACATAACCTTGCTTACCAAAACATATTTTTATCCAGAGTGGA